TCTTAATCCTGGACTGTTATGGGGGCTGGAAAGGCACTCAGCATAATTTATACCAGTGTTTCTCAACGGGGGTTTTTTTGTTTGTTTGTTTGTTTGGGGTTTTTTTTTGTTTTTTTATAAAGTACCCCTTTTTCAAAAAAAATGTTAAGTACCCTCAGTATCTACAGTTTTCAGACAAACAAATTTTTTTCTACTATTACAAGACATTTGTTTAAACAACTTAATCGTAGCTGGGTGGTTGATGAAATTTTGGGGTGTAAAAAGTACAAAAATAATAAAGCGCTGTAAAACTTAAAACAAAAATTACGTTTTCTCCAAATTTCAGTTGTGTTGATATACCCCCCAGACTTCTCTCGAGTACTTCTCAGGGTACTTGTATCACTGATTGAGACTGATTTATACAATCCCTTTAAATAACAGTAGCTACCCCAGGCTGTCCTATGGGTTAACTTTCAGCACTGCCTGGAATTCCCTGGTGTTGTCTGATGCAGCTCCTTCCACTTCCAGTGTGCCACCTGCACAGGGACACTTAAGGACGTCATGGGAGGGCAGCATTATAGTTGCATTCCTCATTCTTGCACTGGGGAATCCTCCCCATGCCAAATATGGGATTTATGCACCCCTTTATGCCTCTCTGGCCAACACTTTTATGCAACATAAAAGGTCTAAAGCAGAGGCAAGGATTAGGGTTAGGGACAGGGCAAAAGCAAGGTGGATATTTAAAAAAAAATTAAAAACAAGATTTTTTTTTTTTTTTAAATCTTAAATTCCTTAATTTCCTCCAAAGAGTCTGTAAAAGAAAGGTAGTCAGCAGCAGTGGGGAGTGTGCTAATTGATTGACTTGCATTGCTTAACTTTAAAATCTAGTTGAGGCTTTGTAAAGCTAATTTCAAAGTGTGCGCTATGGCAAATTCAGATAGAAATTTACATCAAACTAAATTATAAATGCTTGTATGTATACTTTCTTTGAATGCCAGCTCTGTAAGGGTTTTTTAATTATTTACATTTTGCAGAATACCATAAACTATATTTTATATTTTGCCAAGGCTCTGATCCTTCTAACTCTTAAACTAGTATGTAACTGTCTATCTCAGCGGTGGGCAAAATATGGCCTGGGGGACAAATCCATACATTTGGAACTGGCCCACCATGACTCTTCAGGCCAGCCTATGGGAGTGCTCAGGCAAACTACCTGCCTGTCGCAACTCCACATTCAGATCAAAATGGCCAGCTGCTGGGGCAAATGTATCTCTGTATGTCTCTTGGAGGGAGAAGGGCAACAGATCTCTTTGTGTTGCCTCTACCACTATCATCACAGCTCCTTGGCTAGAGCCTGAATCTGACACTCCCTCCTGTATCTCAGTCACCTCCCCCAGGCCACAACCTCTTCTTGCACCCAAATCCCCTCCCAATCCCTGCACCACCACCTGCAACTTAATCCCCTTCCTGGAGCTCCCTCCCTCCCACTCAAACTCTGTCCCGCACCCCCTCCATTAACATAGTAGAAAAGAGCGACCAGTGACCACTCACCAAATTCTTGGAGTGACCCCCCTGTGAAAATTATTGCCCACCTTGGTCACCTGAGTGATCAGATTGACTTCAGTGGGACTGCTTGCGCTTAAAATTAAGCATGTGCATATGTGTTTGCAGCATCACAAATAACATTTAATTTTATTGCACATTTCTTTGGGTACATCTACACTGCAAGCTTATTTTGGAAAAAGTTATTCTGGAGGATATATTCTGGAATAGTTTATTTAAAAATAGAGCATCCACACTAAAGGGAAGCCTCAAAATTAATCTGAGGCAGGCTCCCCTAATGTGGACACACTACAACAATTTAGAACCCCAGGAGGCAGTGGAGAAGAATAACTTAAGGCATGTCTAGACTACATGGCTCTGTCGACGGAGTCATGTAGATTTGTTTACTCGGCAAAGGGAAATGAAGCGGCGATTTAAATAATCGCCGCTTCATTTATATTAAAATGGCTGCCGCGCTGTGCCGATCAGCTGTTTGGCAGCACAGCGCTGTAGTCTGGACGCTCCACAGTCGACATCAAAGGCATTTGTCAACTTCCCCAGTAAACCTCATCCCACCAGGCATAACGGGGAGGTCGACAAATGCCTTTGATGTCGACCGTGGAGCATCCAGACTACCATGTAGTCGACGGAGCCATGTAGTCTAGACGTGCCCTTAGAATGGCCCTGGTGAGGAGCTATTTCGACACAGCAGCGGTGGAGCATCTACACACACCCTTTTCCGAAAGAGCTTTTTCGGAAGAGGCATTATTCCTTGTGGAATGAGGTTTATCAACGTCAGAAAAAGCCTCAGTTATTTTGATTTTCTTTCTAAATAACACAATTGCTGTGTGGACGCTAGTATTGTTTTTCCGGAATAACGGCCATTTTTCCAGAATAACGGTGCAGTGTAGACGCACCCTTTAGTGACATAAGTCTTTTGTCTAGTCAAAATAAAATTGCTTCAGTGTTAGCAATGAAAGTTATTTGGACTTAATACTTTTAACATCTTTGACAGAATTGCCCAAAATAGCCATCAATAATCAAAATGTGCAAATAAACAAAAAACGTTTCTGCAGTACATACAGAAACTGCCCAAAATAGCCATAAATAATCAAAATGTGCAAATAAACAAAATACGAAAAATGCTGCTGGAGAAATTAGTTTGATTTAAGAATATTTACTTTGTATTTTGCCGTGATGTTGACAATTTGTGGGGTTTTTTAATTACTACAATAATTATTTTATTCCTTTCCCATAATTTCCTATGACACTGAAATTTTAAATAGATGAAATTTGAAAAAAGGCTTAAAATAAACATTGATATTTTCCACTGATATTATCAAAAAATAAAAATTGAATTCTGCCACATCTAGTTATTGTGAATGCTTTATGCACAGAGACCGAAATTGCTGAGCCATATTTGGGGACCTAACAGTGCCTAAGTTTCAAAAGTGCCTAAGTGACTTAGGAACACAAATGCATTGACTTCAAACTGCAAACACTGGTGAAGGAGTACAGCCTGGTTATGTAAAATGCTTCAGCTTTCTTGACTTGTGGAAGTTCAATATATATAGGAAAGTAGTGTTGTACTGGTACTATTTGCTCATCAATCTTGCACCTGAATATGTGGTATCCTTCCAGTAAGTATGTTAGATGCCCTGGGCTTTCCTCCTTCAGCACAGATGAGCATTTTAATGTGAAATGTTGTTGTAGGGGAAAAAATCTATGTAAAATCCAGAATTCTAACAACAATTAAGAAACCAATTAAGGAAATAGGTACAGAACAACCATTTCAGCAATTTCAGGCTATAAAATAGAAAGAAAGTAAAGAATTAACAACATGAAAAAATGGTGGTTTTTTTTAACCTATCCTGGTTAATAGCAACTAACACCTCTCATTAGTTTCACATATTGTGTGTTAATGACAGTTTTAAAAGGTGTGAACCCTTTAGCTAATGCTGCCTTATGGCCTCTGAGCTTCTGAAGTTTTCAGCAGGTACTCTCTTCCTTCCCCCACACCCAAGAAAACCTTTTAAACTTCAAAATAGTCTTTACTTCAACCTTTAACAATGATTCTATGTCATCTTATAGAAATATGGTAACGTGTATGGCATCTTTTAAATCAAAGCAAGAGTATACTCCAGATGGGACTGTAATGGTTATCCTGGTAGAACAGTTGAAGGTACAAATGTCTTGTGTAACTATATCCTTTTAGTAGTTAGGCAATGCAGATGCTGAAAAGGAAGTGAAAATATTTTATATCACTCTAAAAACTCAATAGTAGTTGAATTGGAGCATAAGTGTTTGCTTTCTTTAACAAGTGCTGGGCGTTTAAAATAAGTCATTGCCTAGAAATAGTAAAAAAAAAAACAGGAACTTTGTGAGAAACCTATATGAATCTGAAATAAAATTATCTTAATACAGATAAGTCACTTAATATTCTTCAACTGTTCCAGAAAAGACTCTTGTTACTCATGGCGGACTTTCTAAGAACAAATGTTTAAATGTAAAGAGAAACCTAATGACAGGTGAACAAGAAGTCAAAATATTTTGGGTTCAATACATAGTCTATACAGCTAAATATATATCTGGCTTACTAGAGATTTAAATTTATCTCTCGTCATACTTGCACTGCATACGTTGTATGTAGAGAGCTATTTGCTGAAAATCGTATCCTTTATGTCTAATAGTGATCATCCTTGTATCCCATTGATCTCAGTGAAAGCTGTGGATGCTCAGCTGTTATAAAAATCAGGCCAGAAGAATGCTCAACAGATGAGGAATTTTAGCTGTACAAGTGGGGGTGAAGAAATGAGGGAATGTCAATACTTAAAGTGCAGATTTTGTGATGTTCATAAGTGTTAGACGTAGTGCTACTACGAGCACTTCACCTCTCTTTGAATATAGGGGTTGTATAGTGAGAGATTATCATCTGTACCCTGGCTAGTTTGTTACATATCAACTATATAATGGATTGATCTTTCATATGAATCTGACCTTCAGAATATCAGTATAAACTTCATAACTGCACAGTAAGGGTATGTCTTCACTTGTACCTTCTTTCAAGAGAGGGATGCAAATGAAGACATTAAAAATTACAAATACCACTATTTCGAAATAACAGACGCTGTTAAGACGCAGTTATTTCGAGATAAAACCCTCTCGAAATAACCCTTATTCCTCATACAATGAGTTTTACCAGTTATTTCGAGAGAAGGGTTTTCTCTCAAAATAACCGCGTCTGTTATTCAAAATAGCACCATAATGCAAATATGCAAATGAAGCATGGGATATTTAAATCCCGGCTTCATTTGCAATTTCGAATGTCTTCATTTGCATCCCTTTCTCGAAAGAGGATGCAAGTGTAGACATACCTTAAGTGCCTTAAATTATACAAGAACAGTTATTTAATTAACACTGCAGTGGGCTTTTTTCTAAAAATAATAGCAATGAATTTATTATTTCCTGTTGTATTTCAGGGCATTTGATGTGGAACTTCTTTACATAGCTCAGTGCTTGAAGATACCAATAGCAGAGGTTGCTGTCAACTGGACTGAAATTGATGGTGAGTAAATTGCTTACTGCTGCTGAGTGTCAGTCCAAAAAGCAAGACATTTACATAAGAATGACCAAAGGTCCATCTAGCCCAGTATCCTGTCTTCCGACAGTGGCCAATCCCAGGTGCCCCAGAGGGGGTGAACAGAACAGGTAATCATCAAGTTATTCCACCCCTGTTATCCATGCCCAACCTCAGGCTAGGGAAACCATTCCTACCCATCCTGGCTAATAAGCATTGATGGATCTATTCTCCATGAATTATCTAGGTTTTTTTTAACTCTGTTAATGTCCCAGTCTTCACAACATCCTCTATCAAGGAGTTCCATAGGTTGACTCTGCATTGTGTGAAGAAATACTTCCTTTAGTAATCAAACTTTTTTTCCAAACTTGAGGACCTGTTGCACCGAGCCTTGTCCCCATACAGCCACCCAGTTATAAAAAGCCTTTATGCAGTAATGCTGGCCAGCTTCTCCTAATTTCCCCACATCCAATTCTTCCTTTCTCTTGCCTCTTCTTAGGATGGCTTCAAAACTCACCACTCCCATGTACAAGCTCACCTACAGCATCTGCTTTGCTTCAGGTTCCTTGCAGTGCCTATTGCTTTCCTGCTTGTATGGAACTGTTACGAGACACTGAGAGAGCATATTCTACTTAGCATGATGTTTATCCCTATTGAGTAAGGGTTAGTTACATTGTTTGGATATCTTAACTTGCTTGGAGATTAGTGGCTCTGTGTTCTTAAGATTGTCTCTTGAGTGATTTAGGAAAGAAAAAACAAACATTCACTTTTTCCAGTTACCTTTGCTCAGATTTTAAGCCTCGTTGCCTGAACAAAGTTTGATTTATTGTCTAGCGGTAAGTTTGCCTGCATACTCCATAATAGCCTTTGTTGAGTAACTATCCATCTTTGCCATAGAATGTCCAACTCTCAGTAAAATTTCAAATATAATTGAAATTATAAAGCATTAAGCTTTCAAGTGGAAACATTTATTAAAGTCAAGGGCTAAATTATGCCACTGAATAAGCTAACAATACAGATGTTCTGTGGTTAAATTTGGATTACTGATGCTAATTTTATTTAAGGTGAACTTTTGCTTAAATCCTGTCCCTCTGATTTTGTTGTATCTTTTATTAATCACAGGTTCGAAGCTGGTTCCCTTCTGGAGCTGGCTGCAGATGGGCAGGGATCTTCTTTTTTTACGATTGCGATACTTGACTGGTGCCTGGCGTCTTGAAACAAGCAAGTCTAATTAGGTTATTTACATTCCCCAAATGCATTATTACACATAATAGAGCTGGAGAACTATTTCAGCGAAGTAAAATTTTGAAGAAAACTGAGGTAACTCTTCATTACTGCTATGTCCTGCATTTTTTGCAATAATTTGTATTTTATACAATTGCTAAGAGTCAGATGTTTCTATAATCTGAAAGAAAAAGCATCTTTAAAAGTCATACATTTGATCCCATTTTTTTTCTTATGTTCTGTAGCAGCTTTACAGGATCTTGCATAAATTCACCCAGATTAAATAACCATCTGCTTTTGTCTCATTGTGCACTTGAAATTCCCGTTAATGCACAATAAAAGGAGACCATATTCCATGAAGGGAATTGTGACTGACCAAAGCCCTTTTTGTTTCTGTAGTATCTGAACACATGAATATGTTGTGATATGGAACTGGTAATAATGGCATTAAAATACTTACATGTATTTAGGCTTTTATTTTAAATCTTTAAATAGTATGACTGGTATTAAAGGATTTTACTGTATTATAAAACTTATGTGCACAAAGCTGTTTCCTGACAACTCTTTCAGTAAAATCATGACATTCCAATTATCTGTCTTGACCTGCAGTTTATAGCACTTAAGTCTCAGATCTTATGTCATGTTCAATCCCCATGGACCATAACATTTGCAAAAGAAAGTACTTTCAATTTTAAAATGCTGCCTTATACAATTACATACAGTCTGTCCATTCGGGTGAATACTATGTGTTAGATGAGGAGCTGCAAGGACTGCAGTAGAGAGGTGAAGGGGAAAGTAGCTTGGAGATGGACGGGAGGGAGGGCCATCGCGTGTGTTAAGTAACTGTGAAGCTCATGAGTTTTCATCTTTTTTGGGTGGGCTTTCTAAAGTATCTCAACCTTATCATGAAGCATAACTTTAAAATAGTGCTATCAAAAGTATTCATTGGGGATTTCCACACAAGTAAACCAGTTTCCTGAAGCTACCATAAAGGTAATACATTTATCTGCTATGAGAAGAAGTTGTTCCCATGAGCTTGTTTAAATCGGGACTGATTGTATCTTCAAATTATTTTAAGTTGGAATCTCTGCTCTCCTCTTACAATTTGTTACACATTTCTAGCGTTCAGTTCCTGTTAGTTACCTCAGTTTTCTGTAGGATGAAGAAATACTGAAATAAATTGTCAATAAACATGTTCAGTTTTATTGTTTGTTGTTTTATTGTTTTGTTTTCACTTCCTTTGGTATTCTGGTCCACAGAGAACTGTCACTTCTGCTGGATCAGTCATGTGAGTGGTTGCTGCATTAACCATAATACAGTGACACTTCTGTCTAGCAGTAAGCATACTCTGCATGACTGACATGACAGGGCTGGTAGTGCTGCCGCCTTTAAGGTTGCTTGATGCTTGCCATTATGAGATCATGTTCTGAGTAACTTTAGCTTGACAAAATTGTAACGTTTTGGGCTAAAGTTTTCAGTGTAAGGTATCCTTCACAGCCTGTTTTTGAAAACGTCTGCCAAAAATGTTTAAGTGTTTCTTAGAGGCTGGAGAAAAATTGTGTCTTGCCCATGTGAAAAAAAATAGTGACCTTTTTGTGTGAAGCTCTAGTGCCTTTCCTTCTCCCATATACCTGGTTTGGAGCAAGGGCTTGAAATTTAGCAGTGTGTGGATTTTGTGTCAGGATACGTCAGTTGCAGTCCCTGTGATTACCCTCCTGGATTTGGTCACATCATAAACCTTTGAAAAATTGCTGTCTGCACATGCTCAGTAGACCCTACTAGATCTTTGCAGCAAAAAATTGAAGATTTCTTCCTCCCCAAGCATGCTCCAACATCTGAGTGTTCTGCATCTGCACCATTCCTCCAAGTGACTGAGCATGCTCACTCCAGCCAGTGGCTATGGGAGAAAATCACATCTTTGCCTGTAGGAGCTGCTTCCCAGCTGCTCCAAATAGGCTCCTGGCCCTCAGCTTCAGAATCCAATCACCTGTGTGCTCTGTGACCCTCCCTGCTGATACCCAGGCAGAGTGGAAGAGGAACCTGTCTGATGCAAATGCATAGATAAACATCTGCAGGGGCAGAAGGAAAGAAGTAGACTGGCCAAGGAATCAGCCAGAGGCTTGTAGAGAGAAAGTGGGACAGCATTGGGCAAGGAGTTGGGGACTGGGCAGTAGGGAGGGGGAAGCCATAAGCTAGTGCTGGGTACACTGGCATCAGAGGAGATTCCAGCAGGAGGCAGGGCGATTGGGAAGAGACAGGAAGAAGAATCTGGAGTGAAGGGAAGAGAGACTGAAATTGGATGAGAGCCAGGGAAAGGAAACAAGGACTATGAGCCAGGGGAGGGAAAAGAGAGACAGATCAGAGAAGTCAGGGCAGTGGAATACAACAGAGACTGGCTGTTCAAGGAGTTTGGAATTAGGACTGACTGAGCAAGGGGAAACAGATGTGATGTGGGAAGACTTGGGGAGGGACTGGGACTTGGGAGGGCAAGACCAGTGGTAGAAACTATGGCTGGTTGTGCAAAGAGGCTAAGATTGGGATGGAAAGCCTAAGGAGTGGAGACTGGGAGGACTGTAGGCAAGAAAACCAGGACTAAGAGCCAGGGTGTGGGGAGAGACTAGACATGGACACAAGGGATTGCAAGCTTTCCAATGATAAATTACATCCATAAAGCACATTTGTTAGGCATATTTATATTCCTAAGCATATTTCAATAAAGAATATAAAATATATCATCACAGTAGATATTGACATGATGGGGGAAATTGTGGGGGTGGGATAAGGGGAATTCAGTTGTCTGCGTCTTTTTTTTTAAACCAATGAACCTAACACACAATACCTGCATTGTAAGAATGTTAGTAAGCAATCCTTCTAGATTAACTGTCATGGGATAGATCAGTAAAAATATATTTCATTATTGATATTACTATGCATTTGAATAACACTGAGCAAAATCTATTTTTAACAAAATAAAAATGAGAAAATCAATAATTAGAGCTCATAAAGCCGACTGAAAAACAAACTTAAAAATTGTTAAACAGCAGTTAAAACTGACCTAGTTTCATCTCTCCCCAAAAATTTCTGCAAGACTTTAATCAATATCTTCAGGTTTTGAATCATTGCACAAATTTTTCTTTTACTGAAAATAGTTTTTGAAATTTTGAGTAAATGAAAAACAATGATTTTTGAAATGAACAAAAATTGATAAATGTGGCAGCAAGTTTTGCAAAAAAGTTTTTAATGAAAGCCTGTCAGCTTTATCTCATGTTTTCTTACAGGCCACTAATAGTTTTTCAGAAAGAAAACAATGAAAATTTGTTTATTTTTTGACAAGCTCTAAGATCCATCTAATTCTTTTATTAAGGGTCATTCTGTTATTATTGGAAAATATGAAGCAGTGGTGGAGTAGACACTCCATCATTTAGGATGTGTATACATGGTGCTTTTTTTTGTTTTAAAAAAAAAAGTGCCGGTACTCAAAGGGGGGTGGGGGGTGGGAACCAAAGCTGAGTTGGGGCCAGCATTGCCCTTTTAAGACACGCAGCCCAGCCGACTGTCGGACATTTGCATACAGAGGCGCCGGTACACTCCATTCTTTCCAGGTAAACTCTTGACTGGAGGTGCCGGTACTGAGTATCAGGCAGTACAATCACAAAAAAAAGCAGTGTGTAAATATATCCAATAGAATGCAATTTCACAAACAGTTTCTCCAATCTTCACTCCTTTTCTGTCTGTTAGAATCATAGAACACTAGAACTGGAAGGGACCTTGAGAGGTCATCAAGTCCAGTCCCCTGCTGTCATGGCAGAACCAAGCACCATCTGAATCATCCCTGATAGATGTCTATCCAACCTGCTCTTAAATATGTCCAGTGATGGAGATTCCACAACCTCCCTAGGCAATTTATTCCAGTGTTTAACCACCCTGACAAAGTTTTTCCTAATGTCCAGCCTAAACCTCCCTTGCTGCAGTTTAAACCCATTGCTTCTTGTTTAATCATCAGAGGCCAAGAAGAACAATTTCCCCCCTTTCTCCCTATGATACCCTTTTAAATACCTGAAAATCGCTATCGTGTCCCCCTTGGTCTTCTCTTTTCCAAACTAAACAAGCCCAATTCCTTCAGCCTTGCCTCAGAGCTCATGTTTTCTAGATCTTTAATAATTTTTGTTGCTCTTCTCTGGACCCTCTCCAATTTCTCCACATCTTTTTTAAAATGTGATGCCCAGAACTGGGCACAACATTCCAAATGAGGCCTAATCAGTGCAGAGTAGAGCAGAAGAATGACTTCTTGTGTCTTGCTCACAACACACCTGTTAATGCATCCCAGAATGTTTGCTTTTTTTGCAACAGTGTTACACTGACGACTCATATTTAGCTTGTGGTCCGCTATGACCCCTAAATCCCTTTCAACAGTACTCCTTCCCAAACAGTCACTTCCCATTCTGCATGTGTGAAACTGATTGTTTCCTCTTAAGTGGAGTACAGTACTTTGCATTTGTCCTTATTAAATTTCATCCTATGTACCTCAGATCATTTTTCCAGTTTGTCCAGATCATTTTGAATTATGACCCTATCCTCCAAAGCACTTGTAACCCTTCCCAGCTTGATATCATCTGCAAACTTAATAAACGTACTCTCTCTGCCATCAACTAAATCGTTAATGAAGATATTGAACAGAACCGATCCCAAAACAGACCCCTGCGGAACCCCACTTGTTATGCCCTGTTGTCTGTTGTCACGCTGACATAATGTATAGTCTGACAAAATATTTAGAACATGAACGCTGCAAGAAAGAAACCTCAATTATATTAATAAAATATGCTCTGTTTTTTTAGTTGCTTGATATGGAAATTATTAATTTGGTTTGGAAAATGTTCACAGGGTACATTTTCAGAAGAGGTGGAGAGTTAATTCTGAAATTGTTCACTATAGTTTGTCGGTCTTGAATATGCCACACATATTCTGAAGTCCACAAAGCCCCTAGTGGTATCTGAAGTTTACATGCTCTCCTGCAGATAGGACATAGGGACTGGAGGAGAATTGATGGCTGTAGACTTATACTTGCTCCTGATACTGTATTCTGCAAGACAAGTACAAGGGCAACCATTACAATAATTAATTGCTAAGAGACTGTGGCTCAGCAAAGGCAAAAGATTCCAAGAACTCCAATTACAAGTGAATAACAAACTGCCTGTTTACAGTGTTTAACAATACATTGATTTAATTTGCTTACTTTGTGGGAGGCTTGTCTTTTTTTCAGTAAAGGACAGTGATTCACTTTGTGATCTTTTGATGGATACGCTTTTCTGCAGATAAGCAATACATCACAGGCCAAATTTATTACTGGTATTACTCCTGAGTTTAGGTCTATATTCTCAGTCCATTGGCTCACTGACCCTGCAGCATTACTTCAGGGCAATGCACCTCTGCACAAGTAATACAGCAATTTCTTTGCATTCAGAATGCACATGAAATGTCAGCAAAGAGAAGCAGAAGATGGGTCCAGTTCATTCTGCAGAACTTTTTCCACTGTACCAATTACAGAACTGAAAACAAATATCTGAAAACATTTCCAAACCAACTGAAAATAAATGCCCAGATTAGATATACAGCTAGTTTTTACACATGTGCTATGCAAATTAAAATTGAATTAATGTTTGTAAAGTACTCACATGTTCCTAGTTGTGACATATGCATGTGTGCACACATATCATAGAACCATACAGCTGGAAGAGACCTCAGAAGGTCATCAAGTCCAGCCCCCTGCTCTAGGCAGGACCAATCCCAAGTAAATCAACCTTCACTTTCATTGTCTATTAAAACAGTGGAACCTACCCATAATTATCATTTTACATAGTACACAACAGTGTGCTAGATGTTCACAGACATAAGACAAGTTATAATCTATAAATATACCAAATACAGACGAGAATGAGAGAACATAATTTTTTATCCTAATATTTGTATTTAATACTTAAGTTTTAACATTAGTTCCTTAGCCTTTAAGCCTCGGCCTCTCTCTTTCTTACTATTACTATCAGTTCAATATTCCATACAATAAAATATACAAGTGAGAACATACCCTGGCAGCCACCTTCACCTCTGAATCTATTTAAGAGATGGATCACTAGAAGGGGAACTAGAAAATGTATAGCTATATTGTACATTATTATTCTACATTTCACCCATTTTTATTACCATGAACCATTTCTGCCTTCTGTTATCATAGTAATGTGACTGCCATTGCACTAGGCTTGTTAGCGACTAGTCACCTATCCGATAAGCAAATGTTTATCTAATAGTCGAGTAGCCACTAGACTAGTCACTCCCCCTGCACCCGTTGCTGCCTCTATCAGAGAGCTGGGAGGAGCCAGCTTTTGTACATTTTAAAAGCAGTCCCCACTCACCCTGTGCTCTCTGTGGCACTTCCCCCCCCCTTCTTGCTGCCTCTTTGGGAGGCAGCAAGGGGTGTGGTTAACAGGAGCCAGTTCTGGGGGGTGCTGGCTTAAAAGCCAGTTGCCCCCAGCACCGTCTCCAGGATACTGTCCCCATCCACCTCCATCAGAAGCAGCAGGGGGGGATAGGAGATGCTGGTGGAAGTAGCCCATCTGAAGGGGTCCCAACGGGGAGCTGGTTCCGCCACGGACAGAGGCTGTTGCCACCAAGCAGCCACTGTTCACAGTGGCCAGGGCTGGCCGCACACAGGAGCTGCTGCCTGAGCAGACCCTGTCTATGGCAAACCGCAAACAGGGGCTGCTGGACTCAGCACGAGCCAAGACCGAGCAGTCCCAGCTCACACTGATCACTGTGCCTCTGCATTTTAAATGTTGTAAGAGTCCAGTGGCTTTTACTACATTTAAAATGCAGAGCAGCAGCGCGGGTGGTTCTGGAGCCAGCTCCTGGAGCTACCTCTGCCGTGGCTCAGCACAGCAGCACTTATCGACTAATTGTATAGTCGATACAATTTATATCGACTATACAATTAGTCAGATAATCACATTTTAACATCCTTATATTGCCCATTTAGACATGTTTAGACAACTATCCTTATTTGATATTTGTAATCCCTTTGGTCTTCAAGCATTCTGCAAACCTTAGTGCTTGCATTTCAGCACTCTGCAAATCCACATTAGCCCCACTTCTGGGGCTAATAAATTCTTTTTTAACTTGTTAATATAGTGTGCTAGACTTTTAGCAGGCTATTGGTCCTTTCAACAATGTCATACATAAGCATTTATTTACATGTGCTAAATGCAGAATACATATCTGCCTTTTCCAAAGTGTGCAAGTGTTTCATTTCCCTAAGCAGAGATGAAATGCAGTGTATGCTCTAGCAATAAGCCTGTATTATTGCCAGAGGGTTACCATTCAATTTAAAGAATCAGAGAATCTAGTTTCATTTAGGGGTCTCACCCACCTTACCAAGCACATTAATTTGATCAGAATAACAGGCCATCTTTTAAACCCGGGATACTGCCATACACATGGGATATTCTGAATGTGTATTGATGCAGATTTTCAAAGACAGGTGTCTAAAATAAGGCTCCTAAATCCATATTTAGGCACCTTAACCAGTGACTCTCTTTTTCAAACATGCTGAGCACCTTGCAGTAGATACTGAAAACCATGAGAGCAGCGGCATGCTCAGCATGTTTGAAAATCAGGTCACTTATTTAGGACTGATGTGAATTTAAGAGCCACTTTGAAAATCTTGGGCATTGTGTTTCCCAGTGGCGTGCTCAGCTTCCAGTGCCCATGTAACCAACTCATGAAACAAAATTTGACTGAGGAAACAATATGCGGAACAGATTAACGGCCATAGTTTCCTGTGGTGTTTCATAATTTGGGGAGTTTCACTTTTGTTTCTGCCACATTATCCATGTACAGCGATATTGGATTGCACCACTTGCAGTCACTATGCAGGAGAGTTGAAGAGCTCTGATTACACTAAAAAACTTCTTTATCTCATTAACAAAAGTTGGACCAATAAGAGATGTTAACTCACCCACCTTTTCTCACTTACCATAAAGTCAGGTGCAGAAGAGTCTTGATAGGCCATTATTGCCAAGGGCTTCCCATAGCAGATAGGGTTATATCACTTTTCATCAGTTTTCTAGTCCAGTGTTTCGCAAATGCAACCACCAGGGGCTTTTCTTCCAGCCACAGCCTCCTGGGCAGTGATTTGGGTGGGGGGCAGAGAGGCAAAGCAGCAGCCCCTTCCCTGGGGCTGCCAGTAGTGGTTGTGCCCTGCCCTCTTCTGGATACACAAAAGCTGAAAGAGCCAGGCAGCCTTCTGTAGCGGTGGGGTTAGGCCAGGGCTACTCAGCTTTGGAAGCCCCGGGGGCCACGATGATACAGCACATGCCGAGGGCCGCAACTTAAGTGTGGTTGCACATACATGCAAATATATGCAAATAGCTTCTTTCGCACTGACTGGCATGAATACACAGATTAAGCCAAGTCTACACAACACGCAGACCCCATTTAAGTCAGTTCTGCTGATATTAATAATACACAGTATTTGCCCGATTTCCACCCTATGACAGCACTTTTAATGAACAATGACAGTCCAGGAATTTAACTACTAAAATGCCTATTAACTGAAGACCATTATATTGACTATTTTTTTGTTTTGGTTCCCACCTGTGGGACTGCGTGTTGAGCCCCAGGTAAATCCAAACCGCACTGCGGGCTGTAAACAAAAAGGCCATGGACTGCATGTTGAGTAGCCCTGGGTTAGGGTAACCTGAGGAGGCAAGTTCCAGCCACGGCTGTGCAGTGGCAGGCTGTGTCCATAAGCTCATCACATTCCCCGATCACTCCTGGTCGCTGCTGCCTCCCCAAGTGTCATTTTAGCTCTGGCCTCTGCTGCCTCCCCCAGTGTCCCTTCATTCCTGACCCCCCTGCCGCTATCCCCACCTCCCCATGCTGGGCTGATTTTGTCCTGGGATTGCCGAGGCAGAGTAAGTCTGTTGTGAAAAGTGGTATCTCTATGTTTATTAATAGCACTTTTCACAGCAGAATTAGTGTCTTGCAAATGTAAAAAACAAGCACAATCCAAAAAAAAAAAAGGCAAATGAAACAAGAAAAAAAAACATGCAAAGCATCTTATTTGTGTTTCTATTCTGTTTAGGTCCAGTGACACAGTAGTTCTCAAACAGAAGTACATGGTAGGGATGTTAAAATGCATTTAATTAAGTAACCGTGTAATCGCTGAGCATTTTGACAATTATACGCGAAGTGGCTGGTGGTTCCCTGGGACAATGCACAAATCCCTAGTACACAGTATACAGAGATCTTCCAGGAGGCACAACAACTCATTTAGATATTTGCTTGGTTTTACAATAGGATACATAAAAGCAGTGGCAAAATCAGTACAAACTAAAATTTCATACAGAGAAAGCAATTTTTCAGTAATAATGTGCTGTGACATTTGTATTTTTTATGTCTGATTTTTTTAAGCAAATTTATGTTTAAATGAGGCAAAAGTTGGACTATGCAAGACAAATCAGATTCCTGAAAGTTTGGAAAGGTTGAGAGCTACTGCAGTGAAAAATAGAGACAACTGTACTTTATTTTTATTATTGAGTCTGAAGCAGCCCAACAATTACTATTTCTAGCAATACGTTTGAATGTAATTTGATCCAATTACTAGTGCTCAGCCAAGTAGTTTTGACATACACTTCCATCTGAAACAAAACATCACAATGAATTAAATGGTATTTAAAGAAACAACAAAGATTATTTTCCTAAATTGTACCTGAGCAAGATAAGATGAGAAATTCCTTAAAAAAAGAGGGATAACTGGCAGTTCTTTATGATTATCCTCGCTAGCACTGGTAAGGCTGAACTGATGTGAACAATGGTGGGGCATTTTTGAAAATTCCCATGTAGAGTGCTTTTCCCTAGTTTCCTCATCTTGAAAATATTTGGTTACCTCACTGATGTGGTGTTTGGTGACCCTGGAATGAAAGATACTACAAAAGAATAATTATCAGGGAAACTATGCTGAGTTTATCAGCTTTGCCTGCCCTAACACCCGCAAACCAAACAAAGTAACAGCTGAGGAGAAGAGAGCAGATATCTCTGCACACCATGGGTAGTGGGTAAAGGCCCAAATGGGGAAAGCAAGCCCCAGTCCCTCCCCATCTAAGGCTCCCCACCCCATCACAATAGAACCAAGGTTGCTGCCTTCAGCCCCTGAACATCCCTAGGCTTCCTAGTCTCTCCCATTCCATTGGCCCCATCCTTCCCAGCCAGCCTGAGCAACTTGCAACTGGAGACCTGGGCAGCCACGTCACAGCCTGATCCTTCCCGGACAGCCAGAGAGGAGGGCAAAGGCTAGGAAGTTTGGGAAAGGCAATGCCTTCCCTTGCTTATGTTACATACTGCCCACCCAAAAACCCACTGATGTGAGTCTCAAAGAAGGTCTAACACATGAGCCATTAATCAACCTTTCAGTCTCACTTCAAGAGAGCATTAGCTTCCTAAATTTTCTATCTGCAATTTCACAGTTAATAGTTCTGCAGTTTTACATCGGAGTTCTTTCAGAACTCCTGGGTGAATGCCATCTGGTCCCAGTGATTTGTTACTGCTGTTCCAGGGATTAGACACACTAGTCCTAACAAGAAAGCAGTATAGATCTCAGAGCTACCTTACACAGAGGCAGACTTCCTTCTACTACTAAGGCCAACAGAAGTCTTCAGAGCTTTTTGGAAAGAGACAAATGTTCCAGAAGAGTGTCTCTGCCCCTTCCTCCTCTACCACACTTTCTTCATCAATCTAGTATCAGCAGGTTTGATGCCACGGTCAAAAGTTGCGCAGAACCACATTATCGCCCACCTTCAGCCACCTGTTCCAGTTTGGGAACCATCTGCATTTGAGAGACTGGAAACTGGATAACTTCCAATGAATGGGTCCTGGAGACTGTGGACAAGAGATATTATTTTCACTTCCAGTCCCCCACACCCTCTCTTTCCTGTCTCTCTCTGGGGACCTCTCCCCACAAGACATTGCTAGGAAAGGAGATACACTCCCTTCTGCTACTCAGAGTAGTGGAAGCACCCATTGGTGTTCCAGGGAAGGAGGTTGTATGGACACTAAATCAATCATCAAACTCATTCCCAGAGCTTGCACCCTGAAGCCCCTCCTAGATCCCAATCCCCCACCCTGGGCTAAGCCAGGAACCCCTCCTACCCCATTGGCCCAAGACCAGAGGCTGCACCCCAAGTCCCTACCCAGCCTGGTGAAAGTGAGGGAGGATGAAGGAGGAAGGGAGATGGAGTGAACAAAGTGAGGCCTCAGAGAAGGGGTGGAGCTGGGGCAGGCCACAAAGAAGGGGCAGGAAGGGGGACTCAATGTCTGGGGCAAGAGGAGGTTCAGAGCTGGGACAGGCAGGGGCGGATATAGGGCAGGGTGAGCGGGGCGGCCGCCCCGGGCCCCGCGCTTCAAGAAGCCCCGCGCATGCGCCATGGAAAAGGGGGGCCCCGCAAAATGGTCATCTGCCCCTAGGGACAGGGATTCAGGAAGCAGGCTCTGGCTGGGCACTGTTTAACTGAGATGGCTTCCGGGTGGTGAAGCAGTGGAGTTAAGGCAGGCTTACTCCTGCCCTGGCCCTGCACCACTCCTGAAAGCAGCTGACATGTACAGCACTGGCTCCATGGTGCCATGTGCTACGCCTCATCTACAGGCACTCAGCCCACAGCTTCTACTGGCCACGGTTCCGTTATTGATCAATGGGAGATGCAGGAGTGGTGTTTTCAGGCAGGAGAGCACGTGGGGACCCCCTGCTCTGCCTCTCTCAGGGTCTGCAGCGACATGCCAGCCACTTGCAGGAACAGCAATTACAACAGGGATAATGACTCCACCCGTGACAGTTTAGGTGTGTTAGAAATCACTACTCAAAGAATTACATGTAAGCGTAAGAGAAATGAAAATGATGAACTGCACAGACCAGTCAAAGACCAAAACTAACCCACTTTCCAAGCAATAAAAGTATTAACAACAACCTCCCATGTGTGTGTTGGGTTGGGAGATGAGAGGGAAGGACAGTGTTTGTGAGAATGAGAGACACACTCAGTGTGTGAGAGTGACAGAGATTTGCATTGCCAAGCTCCCTTCATCTCCTTCTCTCAATGTGGAGATGGGGTTCAGGAGTGGGGGGAGGAGGGACACCCTGACATCAGCACTGATTTTCCGGAAAAACTGGCCGGTCTAGACACAGCCAAGAGGTTCTTGCAATCATGACTGCCTCATGGTTTGTCTCCTTTCCTCAAACAAGAGCCTTTTATCTCTTGATCAGCGCGAATCCCACCTAGGTTGATAGTGATGAAAGAGGTCTAGGGGCTGCCCTAGTGACCTATGGGAAAGGTGTTTTTTTCATTCCAGTTCTTTATGGACAAGCACCCTCATCACAATAAATAAAGAAACATCATGGAAGCAAAGATGCGTAAATGAAGGGAAAATAAGAGTGTCACATCTGGTGTCACGGTATTAAATCACTTCTAAACAGTAATTTCTTTCATATGCTACCCAAATACCAGTCCATGTCCATCTCTCTCTCTCTCTCTCACTCACACACACACACACACACACACACACACACTCACTGGGCATCGGGCCAGCGGCTGGGATCCTGGGGCTGGAAGCCGGGACCCTGGCACAGGGCCAGGCAGGGTGCAAAGCCTGAGGTTGCTACAGCACTCTCCGCACCACTACTTCCTGTGCCTGTGCACATGCATGACACTTTTTTCTGGGTCTTTTCTATCTGTTTTCTAGTCAGCATATTTTTGGGGTAGAAAATGCCTTTATGTAACTTGTAGAGAGATGAGCTCATCCATATTTGATAATAATCACACAAATTCATTTTGGACAGTGCAACTTGTCTAGGAGAGCTGTGATCCCTTGCCAAATTGCACTGTCCAGAATGAATTTGTGTGATTATTATTAGGGCTCAAGTTTGTCAGAGATCATGGAAGTCATAAATTCCATGACTTTCCAGGACCTCCGTGATGTCTGCAGCAGCTGGTGTAGCTGCTCAGGTGATCCCGGAGACAGTGACACCAGCCGCTGTTGGAGCAGCTCTGCAAACAGCCTCACAACTTGAGCTGCACCAGCCACAACTCAAGCTGCCTGGGACGACTGCTCAAGACTTACCTGAGCAGTAGTCCTAGAGGTGACAAGAGCAGTGGCATGTGAGCAGCTCTAGGGCAGCTAGAGCTGCCTCTGGCCTCAGTGGCCCCCAGCAGGTCCCTCCCCAGCCCCCCAGAGCAGTGGCCCCCCTCGCTGCCCAGGTAAGTTTTAGTAAGAGATACATAGCATGGACAGGTCACAGGCCATACATTTTTTGTTTATTGCCCAACCTGACCAGGACTTTTACTAAAAATACCCCTGACTACATTGTAGCCTTATTTATTATCAAATACTTATGCGCTCACCCCTACATAGTGGCTAGCTACGACTTGTGCATATCCTGTTATATTTGTCCCCATCCTTTCCTGCACCACTCCAGCCCATTTGTTTGCCTCAACATCTCTAACATCTTGCTTTTAAAATTGTAAGGCTACGTCTACACTGCACGCTTCTTGCGCAAAAATAGTTTCACGCAAGACTTCTTGTGCAAAAGTTCTTGCACAAGAGCACGTCCACACCGCCATGTGCTTTTGCACAAGAGATGTGCTTTTGCACAACAGCATCCACGGCAGTGTGGATGCCCTCTTGCACAAGAAATCTTTGTTGCCTGTCTACACTGCCTTCTTGTGGAAGAGCTCTTGCGCAAGAGGGCTTATTCCTCGTATGGAGAAGAATAATTCTCCAGAAGAAGCCCTGTTTTCCGCCGCTATACTGTAAATTTACTTGTGCAAGAACACACGTGCAGTGTAGACAGCCAGCAAGTTTTTGCTCAAGAATGGCTGTTCTTGCGCAAGAGGCATGCAATGTAGACACAGCCCTCAGTCTTTGAGCCAGGGACTGTCATTTATTTTAGGTTTGTACTGCACCTAGCACAATGAGGTGCAACCTGTCTGTGGCCTTTTGCCACTATCTCAATATATATATTAAATAAAGATCATGCCCCTCACCCTTCAACTTCATATATTATATTGCTGTAAGCAATTTGTAGATAGAGATTCACGAGCATCCCTATTGTAAGGCAATCCCCCTTCCATAAAACAAACTCTGGCTTCCCTAATTTTAAAAACTGAGGTGCAGGGGGGAAAAATAGCTTTTGATGTGTGTGGGAAGATGTAAGTTGTTTGGGAAGAATATTTCAATTGTTTGAATCCTAGGGCAGCCTGCACATTTTTTTCACAGCAAATGTAGAACTACTACTGAGTGAATGTTTAAGTGCTCAGAGTACACTATTCAATACTGCACTTTAGTACTCCTGGGGGAATTCTGCAAGAAAAAATTTAAAATTTTGCAATATTTTGTACATTTTATTTGTCAAAATAAGGCAATATGTTCATGCCAGTTACAATTACTTTGGTGTTTTATTTCAAAATACCTCTCAGCAATTATATCTGTAACAGTACATACAATGAAAAAGATTCAGAAAATGTTTTTGACAAATGGATTCCTTATTAGGCATATTAATACAGAACACTAAATAATCATTCATTTAAACTTCAATGTAGAAATGTATTTCCCACACCTCTCAGAAGCAGTGCAAAGGCCTTGAGGGTGTCCAGTAATGGAAGGATTGAGGGAGCGGGAAGTAATTGCTGGGAAGGAGCCTAGGTGTGAATTTGAAGGGTTGTTGTGTGGGTTTCAGAGAAGTATGGAACATATTTTTGTGGGGAGGGATAGATTGTTATGAAGTCTCCCCCATGTAGACCCTGACTGACCCCTCCCCAAAGTAATTCAATCAGGAACATCCTCTGTCCCCATGTATCTTGCATCCCCATTCAGCCACCCCTCTTCCTCCCATGCCTATGTGTCCCAGAACTCCCATTCCCATTCAGCTCCCACCCAGTCCCCCAGTCTGTCCCCCTGCTATGCCTTCTGAACCCCAGTCTGTGACTCCCCACAGAAGCCCCATGTGCCTTACCTGGTCACCCTCCCCTCCATATATTGTGCCTCCTGACATGGCCCCCCCAGGCAAGGCACTGTGAGGAGTCCTGCTTCATCCCTACTTGCAGCTGGGGCTGCTCCCACCTGTCAGCCGATGCTCTGTATTCTTCTTCAAGAGATGTCACTGTGGATGCTCCACTTTGGGTGTCGGTGCATCCCTGCACCTTCACTCAAAGATTTTTACAGCAGTATCTGCACAGGCTGCACACACATGGTGTCTGCCTCACGCGCCAACCATGCCTTCCCCAAGATTCTTGTGGTGGTAACAGCTCACCTAAGGTAAGAAAGAATGATCATTTGTTTTGCTTACCTGGATGATTGCCTGCTCCAAGCGTGGACTTTCGAGGAACCCGTTCAATCCACACAGATGACTGTCGATTTCCAGGGCCGTGGCCTACTAAGGGAAACTGGTTTTCAGCCCTTGACCTGCAGGATGCAACTATACACAGAGTATTGATCAAAATATGGACAGACAGGGCCATACTAATAGCCCCTACATGCTTCAGACAGATATAATACCCATTTCTAACAAGAATGTTTGCCCACTGATTACACTTCCCCTCCTGGGCCTACTATCACAACACAGGGATTGACTATGCCATCCCAATATAACCATGCTACACCTCAACGCATGGCTCCTCGATGGTTCTTTAATGAGGAACTAGACTGCTCTGAACAGGTACAAAGGGTGCTGTTACATAGCAGAACACAATCCATGCATACTACCTATCTCGTGCACTTACGGAGATTCACTCACTGGTGCTCTGCCAAACAAACCTCTTCTGATTCCATGCCTCTTCCACTAATACTTGACTATCTTTTAGAGCTTAAGCTATCAGGGCTATCCCTCAGCTGCAATTATAGTTTTTCACTGCAAGACCGCAGACACCACTATTTTTGCCCATCCCATCACAAAACAGTTCCTCAAGGGCCTCCAGTCCCTGTACTCGGACATTAAACTGACCACTCCACCTTGAGACTTTCACTTACTCCTCACATGAATGATGCACCAACCACATGAACTGCTAGCAACATGCTCCCTCCAGTATCTCTCCATGGAAACAGTATTTTTAGTTGCAATTACAGCTACCAGACGTGCAGAAGAAATTGGAGTGGTCATGGTAGAAGAAACATGGCTACTCCTCTGAGACTTTTTACCATGGCAGAAGAGTGAGCCCGAGAAGAGGCCACAGAGCAGGTAAGGCCCTAGGCCTTCTCCAACCACTACCCCCTGGGAAGAAATTTGTGGTGCATTCGGAAGGTGACTTTTTCCTTTAAAAGCCACTGCCCCCCTTTGTGAATCAAGAAGTCCTACAAAAAGTCTTACAATGTCCCGTGGACAGTTATAGTTGTACGGTGACTGACTATTTGGACTACAGGGACCATACCCCAAACTGAAGGGCTGAATGGGTAGACAGTATAGCTCAATGATGTAATTTAGGAATATGTCTACACTATAGTTAGACACCTGTGAGAGACCTGTTCCAGCTGACTTGGGTTTGTGGGGCTCAGGCTAAGGGCTTGGTTAATTGCAGTATAGGGGTACGTCTACACAGCAGGGCTTCACTCAAAATAAGCTACGCAGCTTGAGCTACGCTAATTGTGTAGCTTAAGTCAAAATAGTTTATTTTGAATTTGGCCCATCTACACAGCATTTATTTCTAAATAGAGCATTCTTCCTCCAACTTCCCTTAATCCTCGTAAAATGAGGGTTACAGGAGTCAAAGTAAGAAGCACTGCAGCTGGACATTATTTAGACATTATGTTGAAATAACTGCTTGTAGTGTAGCTGTGCACTTGGTTATTTCGAAATAACATCAGTAATTCTGAAATAGCAGTGCTGTGTAGACATACTCCAGGTGTTTGGGCTTGAACTGCAGCTAGAATTCTAGGGCCCTTCCATCTCTCAGGATCCTAGAACCTGGGGTCATGCCTGAGCCTGAATGTCTACACTACAGTTACACAGTCCCTTAGCTTGAGCCCTGCATGCCTAAGTCAGCTGGCACAAGCCAGCTGTGGGTTAACTGTAGGCTAGACATACCCTTAAATTCACTGCAGGGAGGACCCTGTTGGTGTTAATTCCCACAACGCCTTGAACTGGGATTTGGTGGAGAGGGAGACCCTAGGTCCTCATACTGTACCCCATTAAAGGTCTAACTCCAGAGGTGAGTGAAAAGCTGAAGATCACTGGCTTAAGGGCAAAATAATTACTCCACCACACTGAGTGAGAGACAAGGGGCAGAAAGCTGGGTGATCTAATCACTAGGCTTCCTGGATCTCCAAGGTTCCTTTCTCCACATGGCTCTAAGAGTTCATACAATGAGACCATTCCAACCAGTTCCCAGAATCTGAGAATCTCTGACTCCCCTAATTGCCATTTTGTCTGATTTGTAAACAAAATATGCACCTCTCAGTCATAATAATGTCTTGCTCTTGGTGAGGAAAACCTGAAATCTTGTGCATACTTGTGGTATTTCTAGTCACAGTTTACATACTTGTCATCAACACAATTTATTTTGCCTTTGATTCTTTTCATACAGAAATTGTTGATCTGTAGCCTCCTGCTCAATGAGGTGTTTATTATTTACATATTTAGAAAGAAAAATAATTTTTAGAATTTTTTCCTTTGGTGTTTTCACTAGCCAACGTAACTTTTTCCGTTTCTTTGATTCTGCCATTCTCCCTTTTTTAGTGATTTTTCCCAGCTGCGAAAAAAACAATGTGGGCTATTTAAATACATAAACAAAAACAAACAAACAAAAAATCCAATTAAAAAGACATTGGTTTTACAACTAAGAACCCCTCTGAACTATCTGTTTCCTATGCAATAAAACCTCTGTCTCTGGAGTAACCAAGTTTGTCTTCATTGTACATTCCAATAAGATGTTATTACAGCAGTGTCTTTAATTACATTTCTTGCTATTACATTAGTGCATAGTTACATGGGGTTTTACTGGCTCTAAATGTGTTAGTTTGTAGACCATGGTGCCTTTAAGTCTTGTGATAAAAGAAGGGTAAATATTGGAAGCCAGAAGACATTTTACTCTAAATTTATATGCTATTTTATGCTAGACTGGCAATGGCCTCTACCTAGCAAATGCAGTCCTATTCCTAAAATATTTTGTAATAAAATATTTCGAAGACAGCAAAATATTAAGTGGTAAATAAAAAGAATTTTTATACAAATACATATCTAATAATGCAAAAGTAGCAGGATTCTAGAAATGTGTGTCTCCTTATACTATCAGTGTAAGCACATGGATTTGTTCCATGTTAATCCAATGATTTTACCTAGAGGTAAATGTAAGTGGCCTATGTCTTAAATTAGATCCCTTGTCCTCATCGTGAAAATTATCTGGGCAAGCAAAGTTGGGAAAAGTCTTTGGAGATTACTATAGTCTTCTGCTCCCATTTCTTCTTTCTGTATCCATTTCTTTCCTCTACAGATCAATCCCCATAGCTCTACACCCTGGTACTTTGCCTTTGATTCCTGTTAAGTGAAATTCATTTGATGTGTATAATCCTAGGCAGTTGCTATCAGGAATTGAGAACCATGATACAGAGATTTTCTACAGGAGCACACATGGCTATTCTGTCTGTCTAGCAAATATCAGCTAAGAAGTGATTTCGTAAAATCACAGAAATGCTTGAGTGAACTTCAAAACATCTAGTCTAGTTCTCTACCCTAAGACTTAAGCATACCTCAACCATTCCTTATAGGTGTTTGGAGGCTTTTAAGAACATACTAGACAATTTGTTTCAGTATTTAACTATCTTTAGAGTTGGATAGATTTTTGCTAACTAACCTGTGCAACCCTTGCTGCAAACCAAACCAATTGCTACTTGTCCAACCCTCTGTGGACATGGAGAAATTGATCACTATCCTCTTTATAAGAACCTTGTACATATTTCAAGATTATGTCCTCTCTCAGGCTTTTCTTCTCTAAACTAAATCATGCCCAATTCTTTGAACCTAAAATGGATAAGATATGTGATTAAATGAAAGAGAGGATAGTATAGTACCTGGCTATTCCTAAAAGGGTGAATTTGTTGCATCCATAAATGCCAAAGCTGCAACCCATATTCAATAGAAGCCTGATTCAAAGCCCACTGATGTAGATGGAAAGACTTATTGACCCCAAAAGTTTTGGATTAAGTCTTAACTGTTTAAACATCTTTCTCTGAAAGATTTTAAAGGGCATTTGTGGCATCAGATGTGTAGAACAAATGTGTAGAACAGATGCAGCTTTGGTCTATAAGGTTATGTTTAGACTCCGGACTTCTTTTGGAAGAAGCTTTTCCGGAAGAGATCTTCTGAAAAAGCTTCTTCCGAAAGAGAGCGTCTACACAGCAAATGTGCATAGAAAAACTGATCTGCTTTTTCAACAGATAGCGTCCACACTGAATGAATGCTATCTTGCATTGAAGCTGTGATTACTATGGGCAGAATGGCCACCAGGACACCCTTTGCTGCACCTTTTTCCTCTTTCCTCTTCTTCCGAAAGATCGCCCTCTTCCCTGTCCACACATGCCTTTTACCAAAAGAGCTCTTTCAGAAAAAGGCTTCTTTCTCATAGAAAGAGGTTTACCAACACCGAAAAAAAAAACCTGTTCTTTCGATTTTCTTTTGAAAGAATGCCATTGCAGTGTGGACGTAATTGAAGTTTTGTAAGAAAAATGGCTGTTTTTCCAACAAAACTCTATTGTGTAGGTATGCCCTTAGGGTACGTCTAAACTACATGCCTCTGTCAGCAGAGGCATGTAGATTTGTTTGTTCAGCAAAGGTAAATGAAGCCGTGATTTAAATGATCGCGGCTTCATTTACATTTACATGGCTGCCGCGCTGAGCCGACAAACAGCTGATCAGCTGTTTGTCGGCTCAGCGCGGCAGCCATGTAAATGTAAATGAAGCCGCGATCATTTAAATCACGGCTTCATTTACCTTTGCTGAACAAACAAATCTACATGCCTCTGCTGACAGAGGCATGTAGTTTAGACGTACCCTAAGGGCATACCTACACAATAGAGTTTTGTTGGAAAAACAGCCATTTTTCTTACAAAACTTCAATTACGTCCACACTGCAATGGCATTCTTTCAAAAGAAAATCGAAAGAACAGGTTTTTTTTTTCGGTGTTGGTAAACCTCTTTCTATGAGAAAGAAGCCTTTTTCTGAAAGAGCTCTTTTGGTAAAAGGCATGTGTGGACAGGGAAGAGGGCGATCTTTCGGAAGAAGAGGAAAGAGGAAAAAGGTGCAGCAAAGGGTGTCCTGGTGA